GAGAGAGAGAGAGAGAGAGAGAGAGAGAGAGGTTCACAAGATAAAATAGATGTCTTCAATCATTTTTTCTCTCTCCAAGAATATGAGTTCAGGCTTATGTGTGTGTGTGAGACAGAGAGGTCCTTAATAATGAAACAGGTGTCTTATCAAGTTTCATCATCTCTAACAAAATAAATGAAGTTTCTCATTGTTCCAAAGTCCATAACCACATTGTTATCTTTATAAAACCGGAAACATTTAGGTACCATTCTTTGAACTAAGTGACTTGTTGTGAGTGTCTATCTGAAAGAAAAAGAAGACTATAAGCATGAAAAACCCATGACTGTCTCAAATTACCTCAAATATAATCGGCACAAGGGGCCAAGAAGATGACTGCTTTCTGCTAAGATAAATCTCAAAGGCCAATTGGGCCATGCAACCGAGTAGGAAAGGTCCCATTGCAACAAGGGAAGCCACACGAAGCACTGGCCACATAACATAAAGGGCCATTGTAGGAGCAAATACTTTGAATCCCATCGATAGGAAAGCAGAATGGAGGTAACCTCTGAGGCCCGTGATAAGGCTCCATCTCTTTGAGCTGAATTGAAGATATGGCCTCTGCACATGATCTGTTATGACTAGGAATGTCGCCAATCCAATATAAAACATGACCTCAGAGCATAGAGTGGTTATAATGCCTACACACACATGAACGTCCCGAACAATGAGTCCATAAAACCTTGAATGATAAATAAAAGTTATAAGTTCAGCGCAAGCACGCACACATGGACAAAGACACATACAAGCACGCACACATGGACAAAGACACATACAAGCACGCACATGCATGTACATGCACGCGCAAACACACACGCACGCACACATAGGGAGAAAGAGAATACAGTTATATGTATGTGCAACATGTAAACATGAGTAAATTACGGAAACCTAGCACCTAGGGTAGCATTTTGGTTTTCAGCACAAGGAAATTATTCTTCATGGAAGTTTATTTTGATAATGCGAGAATGGAAAATTTCAAGGAATTAATTTACAAATGAGATGGCTGTGGTCTAGAAAACTTTAGCAGGTTCCATTGCACAAGTGGTATCCAAAGCGCTCAAGTTTAAACCACTCCCTCCTAGATGGGTTTAGCACATAAAGGATCATTCTCATTAAACATAAAATGTTGGGTGAACAAGGCTTCCTATATTCCATAATGCAAATGCCCTTCAGGGATCCTACAGATCACTTGTTCTATAAAGTATGATCATCTCTTTTCTCCATGTCCATACGGATTCCATTGGTGATGGAAACTCCATGGTCCAAATCAGGGATGACAATGTGAGGAATAGCTGTTTGGCAATCTTTTCCTTTTTCGTAACTCTTTGACTCTTATATACGTCTCCTTGTACTACTTTAGGAATCATTAAAATTCCCACTAAAAAAAAAGTTGCCATGCTAAACGTCTTTTATAAAATAATAATGGCTCATTGAAAGAAAGTCTCTTTTTTTTTTTTTCCATTTTTTGAATGCTAACTTGGAGCTCAGTTGGAATGGAAGTCTAGATGTCAAGTTGTGGCACCCACCACCTTGACCACCTCTGCCCAGAGCCTCCCAAAAGACGAAACAAAATATATATATAAAGCATGTACACACTATATTCTGATGATTATATAGACAGAATTAGCTAAACAATACATCCATGGTACAAGAGAGCAGTAATATACTGTGCCTGTTGCACTACATGCGATATCACAAGACTTAATTTGCCAGAGTCCCCAGCAAAAGCCTAACACAATGGGGACAGCACTGAAATGTAGAAAGTGGAATAGAGATGAAAAAAAGGCAGAGGGTTCTATCCATCTCTAACCTATTAAAAGGGAATGAGTGACATCTTAACAGGGAATGGAGCAGCATCTTGCATAGTTGCACTCCATATATTGGTCGTTGGCGAACACTGCCAAACACTTGCCAAAAACTCCCCAATGACCACTTTGAAGCTCTTAACTATATTGCATATTTTATGCAATAAAAAGCCCTTTACTTTCCCAGAGTAACCTATAGTTAATTAGTTTTATGGTACAGATTTATAACTTCACATATACTGCTAAGTTACATTATAATTTTATATAATGTTTAAACATCTGACTCCACCGAGTTACTCGAAACCAGCACCAGAAACCTGCCTGATCCGGATGACTCCAACTTGGACAACTTGTGTCATGATAGAGTCTTTAAAAAAAAAAAAAACTGAGATTCTGTTGAGAATATTGACGGAGTCTAGATTGGTCAAACTCAGAACTCAGCGACCGACTAGGATTCACCCCCTGCGAGGTTGCGTCTCCAAATCTGTGTTTTCCAAAAGTTGGTTATACAAGAAGAACATTTTTAGAATACGCATAATTGGGCAACAAGTCCCTGTTTATATTTACCTACTATGTACCTACTTACATGCAAACTATAGTACATGAAACTTACATTTTGAGTTACAAGAATCTTTTCGTTCTTTTTTTATAAAACAGATTCTGGCAGTTGTACCATGTTCATGAAGCATACAACCAAAAGGACATAGGCCCACAAATACTTTGTTGAAATAAACAATGAGTGATTCCCTTTGTGTGGTAAGCAAAGGATTCAGCTCAGACATTGTGTTTGAATAGAAGAGCGGCATACCATCTAGCCATTGTGCCCAAACCGTAGAATTTCTTTGAAGTTATATGCCGATTTTCTTTATGTAATTCAGATTTTATCTGTCTCTGTTCATGCTGTCTATTATTTTTTGTTAAAATATGTCAACAGATTGGCTTTTTTGGGGTCGACACAGTCCTGTACTGGGCACCAACACCCCTGACGTGTCAATGAACACTTTTTTCCGCCCCTTATTAGTAAAATGTCAATGAACAGTTACTGTATTAATTTGATTAACAATAGTTCAACCCATGAAAAAACAAATTTTTGAAAGAAGAATATTTTCAATAATATTAATAGGCACAAATTCTAAATATAACAGCAAAGATGTTTATCCATTTAAATGCAATTAAGTTTTTTTTTTGAGAGATTTAAATGCAATTAAGTTTGTTCTGCATAAACCAATAACCGGTAAAGATGCACATCGAAGAACTTTCTTCTCAACAATCTAGAGTAAAAGTAGGAACCCAAGCACAAACATGAACATTTCAATTAGAAGAACCATATATAAATAAATTTAACAAAAAACAATCAGTCAACATGCAATCCTAAAAAGAAAAAAATTGAGTGCACAATAAAGTACAGATCGGATTCTAGTTGGGAAAGAAAAGGAAATAGCATGTTACCTGACAAAATTTCATCCTGAAGAACCGATTCCACAAAATTCCCAATGTAAAACTGAGGAAGCACCAGTGAGGATATCAAAACAACCGGCCCCAAAATCCAAAGGAAGGAACCAGTCCCTTCCTTGAATGGCGAGGAGATTAATTGCCTTTCCTCTACATGTTGATAAGTCAAACCGCAAAAAGAAACAGAACCAGGTTTCCCATTAAAAGGTTCTCGATAGTTAAAGTTTTCTCTCTTAGCAACAATCCCCATAATAGGTATGTTTTCTGACTCTAACTTTGTTTCCACATCTTCAATAGCAACAGGATCAATGACCCCAGTTCCATCTTTTTGATTGGGTAAATAGAAGACAAGGGGTTTTCTACTGGACCTAGAAGATTTAGTAATATGCATGGCCCCACTGTCAAAGGAAGCGATTGGCATCAGGGAACCTGAAAAATGGAGTAATTATCCAAGAAACAAAGAGAAATAGATGTAAGCATGTAAGAAATTCAGCTTACAATTGAACAAGTGCCAGAAATTCTTCAATCACTTTACATTTTGTTGAGGTCCTAACTGATATGCTCTGACTTCTCACGTTTGCAGATTTTCCATTTATCTTCGGCTGAGAGGAACACAGATTTTAAACTTTGTTTCAGTATTCAAATTAAATTCAATAACCAGTACAATAGAGTTTTCCACGCCTTCTCAAGGTTAGATGGGCTCTCCAAGTAATTAACTTTGCCATTCATATGATTTAAGGCATTGATCTGCCAATTACTTTCATCACAAAAACCATTGTAATGATAAAGAAAATCCATGTTCTATATGCTATGCCCCCACAATATTATAATCCAATTCAATTAAATTATTTTTGAATAACTCATATTGAGTAAATAACCACGCAAACAAAACCAGATAAAACTAAAACAAAATAATGATATTGATTTTTAGTAAACAACCATGAACTCAATAAATATTTCTACCAAATAATTGAAAAAAGAAAAGATTCTTGATCAATACAATCAAATGTTACAAAGACAGCCAACATTGCCCCCAATTAGCTTCATGACACACAAACAAGAAATTGTTAGGATGATGAAGAAAAATCACAGATGTAACCAATTATGAGGCCTCTGACGAGATTTTCATATGATGTGGGCCTCGAAGGATTATTGGAAAACAAAAAACTAGTAATTTGAATAAACTTTTGTTGGACATGTTACTAAACCATGTTTAGGGATATACTCAAAATATAATGAGTAGAAGAGGAGCAGAGGTGATTTGTACCTCTATTTCATAAGCAAGACAAATTAACATCAAAACAGTGGCAAAAGCCTAACAAACGTCAATCAAATCAGAAGCATTGGATAAAAGAAAAATGTTAAGAAACAAATACAAAAAAAACCATAAATAATTATGCATACACTTATCAAATTCCATGACTCTTCCATTCACATTTTCACACTAATCACTTACATTAGAACAACAATTATCGAAGCAATTAACTCGAACAAGCTAAAATAGAGGCAATCAAAACCCTAATTTCAGTGAACCGAAAGCAGAATAGAACCCTAAATAAGTAACAAGTAACCCAGTAACAATATTGCAAGAAATCAGAGCAGATGGTAAATTCAAATGTAGAAAAAGCACCGAAACAATACAGACCAAAGCATAATTTCAAATTTAGAACGAAACGCTAAAATTCGAATCGTAAAGACGAGCAAAACATGCATTTTCTCTTAAGAGAAGATTCAAAAGTTCACTTACAGTGAAATGGCAAATGGGCGGGGTTTTGTTCTTGTTCCATGAGGAAGGATTTTGCAAGGGAGGAGCATAGCAGGGTGGAGCACTACTAGCCCTCATACTCTACTCGCACCGCAAGAACCCTAAACCCTAATAACTCTTCTTTCATCATAAAATTGAAAACTAAAAACCCTGGCCTGTATTTGCAAGCCCCAAAACTGGGGCAGTACAGGTGTGCCTTCTTTCCGAAACGTACGTATTGGGGCTTTCTGTTGGTGCCACGCGGGTTCAGACACTATTATGGTCCTGCAGCGAAGACACAACACGTAGGGTTGATAATGGTCTGAGCCGGGGCGACCCAACGATGGCCGTAGCTCGGCCCTAGTCCCCATAGGGGCAGCCTAGGCCCTGCCCGGCCGCCAAAGGAGCTTAGTCCGGGCCAAACCAATATAAAAGAAAACAATTTGCAAAAGATGGTTGGGCCAGGCTGAACCGGGCCAGTGTTGGCCCAAGCGCCTAGCCCAAGCCTATAGGTGCCTAGAAATAAAGAAAAGAATAACACAAAAAAGACAGAATTGAACTACTGTACCGGCATCTTTTGTACGTTGCATGCTCTGCAATGCAATCAACTCTTCTATTCGATAAAGAGACATAGAATCTATTAAACCCAAGTCTTTAGATGATTCATTTACCACATTTTTTCTCGAAGGGTAAAAAATAATAGCCTGGCCCTTAAGCCATATTATGCGGTCCTCAGGCCTTAGTTTGTTAAATCGGCTAACCGAGCCAAGCTGGGCCAGCACCCCTACCACCTGCAGGACTACTTTTAGTTAGGCACCAAACGAGTATGGCATTGAGGTGTGCTTGCCTTTAAGGATGGCGATGGGCCAGGCAGCAGGCCTTGCTCGAAAAAAACGATGCTAAGGACAAGATATGGCGCAAGGGCCAAGGCCAGGTATGCCCATGGCCGAGCTTGGGCTGGGGGACCTTCGACCTAGTACAGTCTGAGTTGGCCCCATAGGGATCAGTCCAGGGCTGACCCGGCCCATGGCTAGCCATATATTTTGAGGTTTGACCCATTTAATATGAGTTTTTTATGGCTTGTCCGACCATCTTCAGGGCCTTAGAGAGGACATTTATTTAAACTTCATGTTCATGGGATGCTATGTTACAAAGAAACAGGTATACATTTCAACAATTATCATAGATAAGTGTGTTAATGGTGATAATGTTAAAAGTAGTAATTCATTCATTGCATATCTGAACATCATTTAGGTAAAAGGGAGGTAGGATTTTCGGTGACAATAAAGTTCATTTATAATAAGATTTCAACAAGAAAACATACCAATAAGTATCTAAATTTTTAAGTATTTGATATCCGTATCATATTGTTGATGCATCAACATATGTTGGGTTTGGTGATAGCCAAATCACCATACCTATGGAAAAAAGAGAAGGGGTTTTTTGGGGAGTAAAAAAGAAGCTCAAATGATCTCTATAAAAGGGGATCAAGGATAGCATAATACTCATCTTTTTTAAGGCCACCCTTTTGGGGTTATGGGAATGGATCTCCAAATATGGGGATTGGTCTCAAGAGAGAGACATGGCTTCCGAGAGAGAGGTGGTATCCCATGGGTTTTGTGTTTATAAGGCTTCTACTTCTAGAAAAAAAATCCTTTGGTTACTCTCGAGGTTATTTTTTGATACTAGTATTACAGTGGAAAGGAAGATATTGATCGACAGTGTTGTTCAGTCGTGGAGAGCGAGTTTAAAAGGGAAGATTAGTGATGGTTTTTTACCTTATTATGATAATTAATTTCTACTTGCCAATGCCGTGGATGCAGCCCTTCGGGGTTGTCACACCCCAAGAATTTACAATACTGATATTCCTGAGATGTGGAAGTCAAAACATATATATACATCTCTTTTTAGGACAAATTTACAATGGCGAATTTTTAAAAAGTAACAAAAGAAAGTTTAAGCACAACTTCAATATCTTCCCAAAGTTGATCCTGACAAGCACTCAAATGAAACCGCAGTTATCCTGAAAAATGTTTATCATAGTTTGATGAGTTTGGCTACTAAGTAAGTGATCATCATAATCCTAAAATAATCATAATTGAAAGACATCAATATTTTCCAAAATGATATCTATTAACAGAAATGCATCAACAGTTTCACTTTCAATAAATGCATAATTAAGTATAATCCAAGTAATTGAAATGCTTATAACACTTTTAACGGCAGTGCATAATTCAAAGGATTTCACAAAATACCTTACTGGCGTCCCAAGTAAGTCACCTATATACCCCATCAGCGTCCTGATGGGTCCACTTAATCTCTATCGGCGTCCCAGATAGGTCCACTTAATCCCTGCAGGTCCACTTATACCTCACCGGCGTACCGGATGAGTCCACTTAATCCCTACCGGCGTCCCAGATAGGTCCACTTATACCTCACCGGCGAACCGGATGAGTCCACTTGCACACTTAAATTATTTCTAAATCTCTTTAAACATTCGAAAGCAGCAATATCATGTACTCAACATATCACTGAAATCATTAATATGAATTTCACTTAAACCATTAATAACAGTCACTCTCTATAACATTTCAAAAATAACCAATCAAATATTTTGGGCTCAAATTTAGAAAGATAGCAGTTTGTAAAGGTATTCTAGCATAATTGCCAATTTAATATGTATAGAAAAACTCTTATAGAAATTCAAGAATACGGAATTATCACAATTTATGGGATATCGATCCACAAATAAACATTTCAAAACAATACTATAATCAATTGCAAAAATGTCAATTTTTAAATAATAAGGCAGTCATTTGCACATGAATTTTACAATGTCTAAATATTCAAAACAGTAGAAAGAAATATCAGAATTTTACTAAAAGCATAAATATCACATTTATTTCTAACAATAGACAAGAAAAATAAATAAATTTATTTTTCATAATTTACAGCATTCAAAATTTCTAACATAGATAAAATATCACAATTTTTATTAAACAGATTATTTTTCAGGAAGACGACGTCACTTACACACAAAACTTATAAAATAAATATCCTGAACGAAAATATCACTATTTATTAAAAAC